GGTGTCAGTAAACATTGTAAAACATGAAATATTTATGAAACACTTTAAATTACTCTAACTATAAAAATCATAAATTGGAGACCCTCCAGTACAGTGCTGTATTCTGATGTTCTCTGGTTACATTTAGATCTACGAGTAAGTATGTCCTAGCAATTTCGAAATCACGCATTAAGGACGGATTGGGTCCAGATTATTTAGTTTTATTAGTAACAGTTGTGTACTAGATTATCACGAAAAACTGTAACAATTCGACAATAAATACACGTAGAAAATACAGTTAATGATACGTAAGTTATACAGGTGTCCCAGGTGTTTGGTGCCATAGTTCAGGAGCGTACTGAGGGTTCCCTGTAGAACTACTTTGAAATAGGAACCCAAGTCCCCAAACGTAAAATAGCAGCGCTAGGGCGGCATTTAATATCATTTTGTTTAAACTTGGCGCCTCAATGTCGAAGAGCATGCACAGGCATATTACCCCCTCCAAACTCTTTAAGACTCACCTGCTAGAGTAGATGTCGGAATTGGCGCCCTCCATTTCCAAAGCATGCGTTACATCTATGCAAGAAATTTTGGCGCACCCTTTCAAATATTCCAGGTGTCTCACGGATCATGTCACGTGCAACAAGTATTCTGCCCAACAGCCCAACTTCATTATCCACAGGCGTGTCGTAGATCAGGCTTTTCACATGGCCCCAGACGAAATAGTCCAGAGGTGTCAAGTCTGGGGATCGGGGCGGCCAAGGCACTGGACCTCCTCTTCCTATCCAACGACCATGTAAAGCAGCATCCAGGTAGTCTCGTGATACAGTGCTGAAGTGCGCCGGCGCGCCGTCATGCCGTGTCCATGTTTGCCTGCGCACAATCAGTGGCACGTCTCCTAGCAAAGTCGGAAGGACACCTCCCAGGAACACCTAGTAAAAGGGCCCATTGATTCGCGGTGGTAGGAGGAAATGCACAATCAAGTGATCGCCAATGATGCCCGTCCAGACATCGACAGAAAATTGCACCTGGTGGTAACCAACTCCAGTAACGTTGGGGTTTTCATCAGCCCAGACGTGGCTGTTTCGACAGTTGAACCAGCCATCCCTTGTAAACTGCGCTTCGTCTGTGAAGAACGCGTGATTCAAGAAGTTGGGCTGTTGTAAACACTGGTTCAGTATCCACTGACAAAATTGAACTTGTGGTATGAAGTCAGCTGGAACTACGTCGTGTACTCGCGTTGGATGATACGGATAAAGCTGTTGGGCATGCAGGATCCTCCAAACACTTTATTTTGATGTCCCCACAGTCTTGGCAATGGCACGAGTGCTGGTGGATGGCTGTTCCTCTATGCAATGCAGTTCTACATTGAGGCGCCAAGTTTAAACGAAATGATTTTAAATGCCTTCCTAGCTCTGCTATTTTACGTTTGCGGACATGGGTTCCTATTTCAAAGTTATTGTATAGGGAACCCTCAGTTCGCTCCTGAAGCATGGCACCAAACTCCTGAGACATTCTGTATTTACGCTTTATAGTATGAAGTGTTTTTGATAACTGTCGGGCGCTCACAAGGACACGACAAACGTTTGGAATGTGATCTTCTGTATGCGTTATACGTGTTTATGCTTCTTATTCTTGAAGTCCAAGGATCCTTCGTAAATGTCTACTGCCTCTCATTCTGACCGAATGCTTGTGATTTTCCTTTATGTCTGCAATGACGTGAGTAGTCTGTGACCTAAAAAAAACAAACTCCGTGGTTTTAGTCCGCAAGCGAACTATACCGACCGAGAGACCGCCGCTTGTCGGCGAAGTTCGTGCCAACTCCTAGGGATAGTGTGTGTCGCGTGGTCAGCGCAATGAATCCCCACGGCCCTTAATTTCGGTTTAATAGACAGCCGCGATTTCCTTGAAATAGCTACTCTATTATCCTCACGAGGCTGAGTGGACCCCGTTCCAGACCCACTACTTCTCAAAAAATCTGGTAGAGCCGGGAATCGAACCCGGACCTCTGTATCTATAGCCAGGAACTCTGACCACTAGACCACAGAGGCGGTCAGTGTCTATGACCTAGTCCTTAGAAATTCGCCTCTGCCAGTTCTGATACAGTGATGCACATCTGTTTTCTTTCAAAGGGTCACATTGTCAGAGTACCCTTTGCTGCAGATAGCACATGTAGACAATTACATAATGTTTATTTGTTACTTTTAATAGGCACATTGTAACTACTTTTATAGAGAAAGCCGAATGAATTTTTTTTAACTAGAAAACCGAAATTAACGGCCGTGGGGATTCGTTACGCTGACCACGCGACACCCTCTATCCGCTAAAAGTTGACACTAACTTCGCTGACAAGCGTCGGTCGCTCGGTCGGTATAGTTCGCTTACGGACTAAAACCACGGAGTTTGTTTTTTGTATAAAGTGAGTATTAGAAAAATAAAATAATTGAATGAAAATGTATGCAAATAATGTGGAATGTTTTATAAGAAATTAAAATTTAACAATTTCTAATGTGACTGCTGAACGTACGCTGTGAATGCCAGGCGTTTCGAGACAGGTGTAATGCATCTTGTGATCAGACTAAGGAGTGACATGAGATTTTCGTCTCTCAACCGATTGCATTTTATAGATTATTTTAGCGTCGGTGAAAAAGTTTCTTCACAGCTGTAGGTGTTTCAGACAGCCGCCTTCTGCAGCAGACTGGGATATTTCTATTTAGAAAGACATAAAAGTTAAGCAAATCATGCGCTTTGAATTTACACCAAAGGTTATCAGTACAATTCAGGTCGATTAATTCGAGCTCTGAAATAGGTCAGCGTCTTCATTGTGTGACAGAAGGGATAGGAAATGTTCTGAACAGTGTTCTGTTCTAATCGGAGCCCAGAAATCTGTCTGCAAATGACAGCTGAAACTGTTCGGCGCGTCTGGCATTGGTCATCTTGTTTTGTTGAACGATTTGCCTTCCAAATTGGAAATTACCTTTACAGCTTGTTGTTCAGGCCGTTTAGCTGCTCACGAATGTCTGACAAGAAGTCCAGATTGCATACCCACATTAATTCAGAGTGACCTACTTTGTATCCTTTTCGATAAGGAAAACTTTGATCTTTGCTCGTGCTCGCCAGCCTTCGTCGGGAGACTCGTCTGGCTTTTACTTATGCTCGTAAATCTTCGTCCACACTACTTCAGTTGCTCGCCAGGCTTCGGCGCGTGAGGATCCGTATATTTACTCGTAGTGTGTATAGGCTGTAGTCGTATTTTAATTTATTGGCTATAGTTTTTAAATTAAAAATTAAAAATTTGCTTGTCTCGTGACTTGTCATATCGTCCACATTACTCGCGAGCATAGTGAGTCACACGAGCACTAGCACGAACACGAGTAATGTGGCAGAGAACACTGCAGAACCTTGCCTTCTCTAAGCCAGCAAACTGAGGCCGTGCCATAGCTCAAGCGGTTAGTCGCTGGCTTCTCACCGCGGCGGCCCGGGTTCGAGCGGGGGTCTGGTCATGTTGGATTTGTGGTGGAGAAATTGCCACTTGGACAGGTTTTTTCCTAGTACTTCGGTTTCTCCTGCCAATCTTTATTCCACTAGTTGCTCCACAGTCACCGTAATCTGGGGCTGGCCAGGAGTGGCCGCAGTACCAAGTGGACTCAGTCTCACCCCACTAAGAATAATAAGAAAAGGCCAGGGAACTTCAGACTAGTGCACAGTGTCACCTGATGCCGTTAAAATATTTGTTGTTTAGGACAAAATACAGATAATTGCACTAACGACGTTACTCATGATTTGCTTCAATTGCAGGCGTTTGACAATTAAGTTTTGTTGTTAATGCTGTAATATTGTATTAATCCGTAGTGGAGATGTGGCCCGTGCATGTGCATGTAAAGAGGAGACACTGTACTAGTTAGTAGCGCCAACTGTAACTGTGGCCACAGGCTTCAATACTTCCTGTATGCCTGTATGACGTTGATTCTTTGCATTCAATATAGATCTGCAAGTTCTTTAAACACTTCACACAAACATGCAGGTACACATCTGCGCAGTTGAGATCATGTCCATCGACTTATCAGCAGCCAGTGAGTAGGGACGATACTTCATAAATGCAACTATCTTAGAAGACATAATTTTAGCGTGCTTTGAAGTATCAGCCTCCTGCTTTTGTACTCTCCTCCGGTTCAAACTCACAGTTGCGCAGCAAAGCTTCTGTGACCCAAGATATAAACAGTTTATGTACATACATACATACATACACACACGCATACGCACATACATAAAATATATACATACACACATTTCGATTAGTGTGGGGTGGGGTCCAACTGGGTCCACTCGGCACGGCGGCCATTGATTGGCCTGTTGTACCTGCCCCGGGTGATTATGATGATGGAGAATTTGGTGGAATGAAGATTGGCAGGGGAAACCGAAGTACTCGGAGAAACCCCACCCCAGCGCCACTTTGCCCACCACAAATCCCACTTGACCAGACCCGGGATCGAACCCGGGCCGCCGCAGTGGGAAACCGGCGACTAACCGCTTGAGCTATGGCGCGGCCGTACATACACGTACACACATACATACATCGCCTTTATCACAAGCACTCGAATTCGAATTCTTCAAACTACTTTGGTCGAAATATGGAGATTCAATTTTAGAATATTGTCTGGAGTTCGATCTTTACGTCGTGGCACGAGTACGATCTGTGTACATATGGAGTTACCTGTGTTCTCATCAAAACAGCACTTGTCTGTCCATTGCTCTTGATATACAATTACATAATCATGTGATGGTTGCCTGATGATAACTCTACAGGGTCCAAACGTGTAGCAATACTTCCACAAATAAACGAATATTAATCCAGTACTATTGATTTGTTTATTATAGAATTGTTGGGTTGACTGATACATTAAGAACACGTATATAACACACAAGAGGATGCATACAGTAAATATTTTGTTACGTATAAGACTGAAATTTTGTTTGAAACTTACGGCAGCGCATCTTGAGATATTTTTCTATTGTTACAGCAGTAGCAACCTGAAGATCCTGGGATGGCGACAATAGATGGGCGGCCAGCACAGTATGGCATCACCCTCAAACAGCTCCGGGAGCTCATGGAGACCCGGGGCCGTGAGGGGATTGCCAAAATACAAGATTATGGCGGTGTTCAGGAGATATGCAAGAAACTGTACACGTCCCCCAGTGAAGGTGATTATAAACAATTACAAGTTAATACTACAAACAGGAGAATCACAGCCGCTCGTTTCTCTTTACTCGCAAACAGAATAGTGACAGATTTAAAATGAATGAAGCTTCAGTATTCAGGAACAGGTTTCCATTTTGATTTAATTGAAAACCGTGTTAAAGGCGTGTCTGTAATATTGAGGTCAATGTAATTTTAGATTACAAAATAAAATATAGAGAACTATGGGCTTGGGATATTGGCCTCCGTAGTCTAGGAGTAACGTTCCCACCTCACGACTCGGTTTAAACCCGGTGGAGGTCGTGGAATTTTTAAGGGCGGAAAAATTCAGGGAACAAGTCCTCCGGGAGGGACTTTAAGCCGTGGGTCCCGTGTCGTAGATTTACGGCACGTAAAACATCCTCATGTCTCTAGGAGACCTCTGAGCAAAATTAGCCAAAAGTTTCCCGCCCAAGTAGTTTCCAATGCCTCTGGTAGATGGGGGAAGTATCGGGTACCGAGGGCCGACCTCGTTGGTTGAACGGGGCTGATAGTACGCACCAGTACCGGTAGGGTATGGCGACTGGTAGAATATCAAAAGGGGACGTACGAGTACAATAGACTATTAGTCGCGGTGCATGGGGAAACCCATCCCCTCTAATAATAATAATGGGCTTGGGATTATGTTTCTACCTATTTATTTATGGTACACAAATTCCCTTACATTATTTATATAGGGGTGAAAAATCGTGTAACAGTGATGGGGAAGAAAATGATGATAATGTGAAGACAATAAAGTGGAGTGCCAAGGTTTCCCAGATTATGGATACAGTTTTGCTTCTTATGCTGTATGTTCTGTAATATCATTGTGATCCTCCCTGTTACAACCTTTGGTGGCCTGACACACTTTGTTGGGCCTTCTCAAATCATACTTACTGAACAGTGCAGCTGTTAAAAATCGATAAATATTTCAGTGAAAGAAGTTTCTTTCCTAGTTGACATATTACTGACCATTTAACCAAAACAATACCGCCATGATGAAGAATATAGTACGTAAGGTTCATTCGAGTAGTGGATTTGTTGAACTGTTTAGCTCAAAAGCGGAACATGAGAAGTTATCTTTAAGAAGAGAAATGGACTGATGGTGACTGATATAAATAGGCCTCTGGTTTGCCGTTCACATTCAGCTTCTTCGCCGTGCTCGTCATCACTAATTCGTTTTTAAAAATCGCAGAACGATGAACAGAAATTACTCACGTGCGTAAATACGATATGTAAATACAATCTGTATTCTTTCACAGTTAAGTGCAAATACGCGTACACATACTACATGCATACCCAGCGTACGAGTACAAGTGTTATCAGCAGGGCCCGGATTTTGATGACCTTAAAATATTAAAAAAATGACCTATAAAATGACCCAAAAAATCCAGAAAAATGACCTAAAGGAGAAAAGATAGAACACTTCGCTTCCATGTTATTCACATTTCAGAAAACATATGAAGAAAAACTCTCTAAAATGGCCAAAAATGACAAGAAATACCCTTAAAAGTCCAAAAATTTACCAAAAAAATTACCCTGAAAATGAAAAAGTGACCTTAAACCTAAAAATGACAAAAAAAAAGACAAATTACCTATAAAATTTACATTTCTGTAACCAGCAGCCCATATCAGAGATTTATATATTTAAGAGCATCGCATAGGATACAAGGAAAAAAAGATGACATGTCATCAAAATCCTGGCCCTGGTTATCAGTGTCTCCAAGAGCACAGTAGATGTGGCGTGGTGTAGCTGCGTCCCACTAGTTTCTCAGTGAACGAACCCTCACACATATTGTTCGCTAGGCGACCAATTGACGACTCAGAAGCTGAGTTGGAGCACACAGCGTGCGTAACCCCTAGGTTTCGGGTTTAGCTTAAACATTAAATCAGGTTACAGGCTTCATGTAGGAACTGAATTTTCGTCCATTAAATGCTGGTAAAACTTGAATCGAAAAACACTAAAATGGGGCAGTTGATTATCTCCATCTCCACACAATAAAATAGGATCGATACTGTGCATAAAAACACTAGGACTCGATAATAATAATAATGGGCAGATTGTAACATATGTATCCATATACAAAAAACGCAATATGTTAAGTTTGTACAATGTATCGCCTGAAAAAAAAGGCGAAACATGTAACGAAATTATGTTTATCCCAAAATAAACGCATAATTAACACAATAAAAGTGTGAGCGAATTATTTGGTAGATTTGCTATGTAAAAACATATATAATATATGTAGGGGTAATTTATGAATTGCGACTGTGGGGCATTTCCCACGGCTCCAGAAAATGAACACTGAATGGGGAGAAACATAAATCGGTATTCCACTGTTAAGCCTGTATTGCACTTTCCCGTCGTAGGATGATATAATTCCATTTTGGAAATCCTAGTTCAGTTTATGGCAAGTTATATTAAGTCTTTCTTAACATTTCTATAGTTTATTAATTTCTGATTTGTCCTTGAATTTAACCTACAAACATTCTACCACATGACCCTGCTTATGAGGGGGAAGGGAGCGCTTTAAATCTGAATACTTGCGGGAAGCATATTACATATCAGTAAGTGGAGGGTTGATATTGGAGAATTTTGCTTAATTACGTTGCTTTAAGAATAAAACGCTTTTAATATAAGAATTTTCTAGACAAGCGTTTCCATTATCAGGCTGAGGATATGAGGGTTACATTGTTCTTTGTAAAGTACAAGGATCCTGTACTTCTTTTGGCTTGTTTTGGACTTCATCCATTGTCTGGTATGTAAAAGACAAAAGACCATGACGTTTCACGGGTCCAGTAATTGAGACTAGCTCTTTCTAACGGGCCCAACTGAGTAGGTTTATCCTGCCCCACCCACCTGAAGATGGAGACAGATCCAGTCTCCGAAACGTCCTGGTCTTTTGTCTTTTACTTACCAGACGATGGATGAAGTCCAAAACAAGCCAAAAGAAGTACAGTATATACCATCGTCAGAATCCTTTCAAGTCTGTACAAGGATCCTGCTTTAACATTGGATGGTAGTTTTGTACTAAGTTGTAAGTGTTGTAAGTGCAACAGCAAAATGCAGGTATTACGGACGTTGTGAGAAGGAGGAGGAACTTAAAGAAGGCAAAGACAGATGGACAGATGCACATAAAAGTGCAATCATCAGAGGAAGAGGTGGGATGAAGAAGAAGATTTGACACCTTGTATTGCTCTATTTAGGTATTTACAAAATCCAAATTTTGCAGTGTGAGAGGTATAAATCTTCATATGTTAAAGATTAATCTGATACACGTATTATGTCATGTGCATAATTTTCATATGATGCCATGTTTTTGGAATAATACATGTAAAATACTACCCACTTCCTTTTCTCCCATGCTTTGGTATTGGGTGATCATTTGTGAAATGTTGCGTGCTGTGTCGCTCTCACCAGCATTATTAATAGATAATTTTATCATTTTCAGGTCTTAGTGGGTCAAAAGTTGACATAGAACATAGAAGAGACACTTTTGGCTCGAACACCATACCTCCCAAGCCACCTAAGACGTTCCTACAGCTTGTCTGGGAAGCATTACAAGATGTGACGCTGATAATTTTAGAAATTGCCGCTGTTATATCCTTGGCATTAGCTTTTTATCCCCATGATGATAGCTCGGGTAAGTGTTTTGGCATTGATGTAAATCAAATCTATTACAAGGGGATGATGTATTTTTTGTGAAGGAATGTTGTTTCTTAAGCGTACAAGACTAAAGCCAGTGAAGGTTAAACTTGCACGAGTGTGAAGGGTAATGGTTTCAAACTTCAATGATAACACTGTTGATCACATTATTTGTTACAAGGTACGTTGCTGTTAAATTATCTGTTCAAGGAATATCCAAAATGTTTTGTAACTCTAAATGAAGTTTGCAGATTTTATGCAAGTGACATACTTGTACTGTTTCAAATTAAGAAGGTGCTGCCATATTGTCAGTTGTCTGAGGTACAGTGTATTCTTTTTTTGTGTGACTTTCATTCCTTAAATTATGAATTTAAAACTCTGATGCTGCTCTAATTATCAAATAATTTGAATTCCTTTATGAGATATGAGATTAGGCAAATGTTCACAAAACCTAATGTAACTAGTGTATTTTATAAATGATGGACACTCATTACATTGTGTAGCTATGTAGTTTCCTTCTAAGGATACCTTTTTTATATACCTACAGGCATTATATTTTATTATTGTCATGTTATTGAGTTATTCTAGACAGACTTTGGATTAATAGCTCGATTAATGAAATACTTATAGATCGTAACTGCTGTCACTAATTCGCACACAGTACAGTTTGCTACAGTACCCACTGAGTCTTCGCAGTCTTCTGTATCTTCACCGGTTGTCTGGTAAAGGTCACCCCTACTGTAACTCCCTCAGCTTCCATGTGTCATGGCTCCAGTCCTCACTAGCTGGCACTAGTCTCACAAGTAACTCAGCATTGCTACCCAACGACTTACAGTGGGAGTTACTCCACCAGGGGAGACTGTCCCACAACAGCTTCAGACTTGGACTGGTCTGCTTGCCTGAAGACTCTAGACTGACTCACTTGACCCACTGGTCCTCAGGACACACTCGACAGAAAGCACCTTTTCTTGCAGTTCTTCTGTTGTTGCATGTTGTAGCTATCTGCGTGTACCTGCAGAGAACACCACTTCCCACAATTTCTCTATTGTTGTGTGCATTAATTGTTTATTGTGCCGTAACAAACTAATGGGCGCCTCTTCTGGTCAAACTATTCCTGCTTTCAGATGATGTACCACCTTGCTCCCTCCTTAAGGCTGCAAGTTTTGAGTAACCTACAAACTTACCACCATTTCTTTGTTTCCAGTTGAGGGCAAAACTTCCAAGATTGGCTCGTGAGCTTACATCTCTGGTTCTTACTCTGCCTGTAGTCTCTTTTTTTCTCTTGGGCATTGGCCAGCTCCTCCAGAATGTCTTGACACTCCTGACAGATTCAAAAGATGATCTCCAGCACTAAGAGCCTCCCAGTCAGCCTCATTAACAGGCCTTTTGCTTCCTAAATGTAACTGCTCTTTTTGGCCTCGGTTTCGTATGCCATTGTTGCGTTTCACCTGTGCCCGACCTCTCTTCTCGAACGTCCGTTCAGTAGGTGCTTCTTATACAACATTGTCCTTGGTCTGCCTTTTCCGTGGGCCCCGTTTTGCCATGGCTGGTTGCCTGTCCCCAGATTGGCCCTCCATTGCTCCGATAGTTTCTACTGTGACCTCTTCTGTAGGGACTCCTGTGGACAACTGCTTGCTTGCTCGCTCACTCACTCAGTCACTCCCTCATTCACGCATTCATTCATAACTGCCTTAAACGAATTCTGTCACTTACTTATATAGCCATGGAATGGACATGGACCTACAGTGAACACATCACGTGATTGCTATCCAGCCAATCTATTGGTGCGTCGGTCAAATCTACAGAAAACACATCTTCCTCTATTGTTACATATTAGATCATGTTTACAGAGCTGTTGCCTGGCAATATGTTTACAAATCCATTACAATACTGAGTGTGATTAGTAGTTCCTGCATGTTATGTCACTGGTATTTGAGGTGCAGTCTGCATCCACATTCTCATGTTATTTGTTCTTTTGTAGATCAGAAAGCAGTGCTATTCAGTACTTTGAATGTGCACATTTTGAAATGGGGCATATCCTTTGGTCATTCAGTATAGACATATTGTGCTGAGTGACAGAACTTCGCTGTGAAGTCTTTGACAAGAAGCTGTTTCATGAAAAATGATCTATAACCATTTACAATAATGAGAATTATTTGTAGTGAGAGGGGCATGCGGTAGCATAGTTGGTTGAGGCACTATGCTACAAGCCGGAAGGTTACGGGTTTAAGTCCAGATTAGGTCATTGGATTTTTTCAATTGACCTAAATTAATTAAATAATTTTCCTGGGGAGTAAGGTGCAGCCGGTGCGTAAGGCTGACAAACTTACCGCCATCTTTGAGCCAATTGTCTAGATAATGTGGGACCCTCAACGTCTCACAACCCTATGGGCCTTCACAGCTTGTTACAGGATAGCTTTACTTTTTACTTTATTTGTAGTGAGATATAACATAACACTGTATCAGCCCTAAGTAGTGATGAATTCTTTACAGGTGTGCCATTTATGTTGATCACCTTCAGTAACTCTTCTGTTTAGCATCATATAAGAAGTTTCAGATAATAATTGCTAAGTTTCAAAGGGGACACATGGTACCACATACAGTTGTTAATACATGTGTAATGTGTGGGGTCAGTAGACACCCTAGAGGAACATATATCAGTTTTGTTCTGTAAGTCATAATGCTTGGTTACAGACACCCAGAAATTGTTGTTAAAACTTAATCACTCATATAATAATAATGGTTATGTAAACAGATTTATTGTTAACTAGTATGGGTGGTGGTTGCATACAATTCTTCATTCCCTTGAGTCAGTAATTAGTGGGGATATTCTGAATGTGATAATTATCACCCTCTTTGCTGTGAGGACAGTTAGAATTCACAAACATATGAATATCTGAACTTCTGAATATTAGACACTTGAGTAGTTTATGTATGGTGTTGGAGATTATAGGGTTAATTAGAAGCATTGGTCATAATTAGCAGTAGATGATTTGAGATCTGAGTCTTCTTCTTTCATAGCTATGATCCCATATAAAATGGTTTTATAAGTGTAACTTAAGTGATTTCCAAGCACTGAAGCATTTGATTTGTTCCTATTTTTACTTCAATATTGTGTAGACGAGACAGACTCGTTGACATTACTGTAGATCTATATTTAACGGATATGTGGTACATTATGATAATGCATCGATATGCATGATTATCATCATCCATATTGAGAAAATGTGGATGCTTCCTTGTTGTAGAAAGTATTGTAAAAGTAGATAAGATTATGTCCTGTATTCACATCCCAGAAGTAACTAACTGTCTTAATACTGGCAGATGAAGTATGGACACCAGAATGGTGTGATGTATTTGTTCCCATATGTACATGAGTAGTGAAAACGATCATTTTACGGCTGATGAATGGGAATGTACAGTCCTCTACTATGAAGAGGAGGGCAACAGGTTCTTCCAAAATACAGTCAACTCTCTATTATCCAGGGGCGGATTAACCGGTTTGCGGTGTAACCGGGGCTACTGAGGCTTTTTTGAGACTTATATGTTGTTTAATATTCACTCACTTTTGTTTCACATGGTGAGTTGTAACACTATTTTTGCACTAGTGTGAACCAAGCTCTGCATTCTTTGGTCCCATTATGCTAACACAATATTCTAGGGTAGGAGTGAAAGAATGCAAGGATTTGTGGAAAGTTTCTAGGACAGATACATGGCCCCAGTTAGTTTCTTTGTATCGATCTTCAAGTGCGTTAGCAAAATGTCAGGGTGTAAAAGGAAGCGTGTTGTGTTAAGTATTCAACAGAAAAAGGAAAATGCTGCGAAAAAGTAAACGACGATGTTAAATTTTTTTAAAGTGTTAAGTGTGAATATTCGTAAAAAATGTTGGATGTTGCTGAAGACTGTGATTGAAATAACTAATTCATATTTCAGTGTAATGTAAAAAAGTATTAAATAGGCCATGAGATGACATAAAAATGAGGTTGAATAAATTTAAATACAGGTAGGCCTATAGTATTATGAAGGTACAGTATTACAGTACTACTTTTAATAAAATTTGTCTTAACCGGGTTTTCGATTAATCGTGATTTCCATCCCCACCATTATCCCGGATAATTGAGAGCTGACTATATTGGTACCCATCTAGCGGACCACACTTCATCACATCCCAGACCACCATAATCTTGGAAATGCTCAGGATTGTGTGATGTTCTGTCAGCAGAGTGCTGGTGTTACTGAAGTTATACTACAATGTCCTGTTGAAATTCCCAAGAGATAAACATTTCTCTGTGTGAAATTTGAGGTTCTCCCGATGAAGACTCTTGAGATATGGCACCATGTAGTTTTGGTGGTGGGTATCAAGTTTTCAGAGGAATGTGCTGCCTCCATGTCAGGGTAGACCTGAAGATGGAAGCAGCGTATCTTCTGAACTGTTAGTATATATGTACCAAACTGCATGATGTTATATCCCAGAAGACAGTAATGTTCACTAGCCAGGTTGTCTTCTTGGTCCACCTAACCTTCTGAAGTCTGGTAGTTTAGCACATAGAAAACTCTAAATACATTGTTAAGGTTGAACATCTTAGATCTTTTGGTTTTCCTTACTTCTTAAGTTGAATTCCAGAGTCATGGTTACTTTGCCTAACATCCTCTCTTGATTTCGTCTTCCATAATCATTCTACCCCTCTCATTCAGTGCTTCAGTGCTACGTAACCTCATAACCTCAGCAGTAGGTACGGAATCATAAACTTGATCGCTTTAATGTTTGGATTGTCTCATGGAACCCTGAGTTTGTTTAATGACCCCCCCCCCAAGTCTGTTTTGTTATAGACTTAAAATTTTTTCTTGTTTCATTTCTCTTTTCCTGATTACCCTTGTGAATGCTGTACAGCTGTTTCTGTTTCATGCCTCTTATTTTCTTATCCTTTCCTAATTAATTCAATAGTAACAAGTGGAGTAATGGCAGTTATGCATTTTTATCACAGTGACTGTTCAAAATATAATCCTTATAACCCATATTCATTCGTGACAATGGCTTGTAGTTGCCTGATAGTCATACAGAGAAAAATTACATTGTTTGAAAATAGGAATTAAAAGTACTTGGCACTGAACTACAGTATTGCATTGAAAATCTCAAGATTATATATTAGGTTAAAAAGGAAAGCTTTAATGAGAACACTCTTGAAAATGAAGTGAAAGCTTTCTGGCATAGCTGTGTACTGGAACTAAAGAGAACTGGTCACTTCAGCAAAGAAGGACCATAAAGCAAAAGTGCTGCGTTTCTAAAGAACAGAACAATGTGCTCTGACACTGTATCGTTGCAATACTAACAGCATCATTAAATGACCAACTTAAAAAAACGTTTAGTTAAAAAATCATTGAATGCTAATATGGGGCTCCAACCATGATTATTTTGTAATGGAGGAAGGACTGAAGCAAACCACAAATACTGAAATAGAATGAGTTCATGCTCGGTATTATGGCACTGTATTTTCTCTCTTTATTTATTTATTTCTCTTTTTCTTCTGTTTTATTTATTTTTTCTTTGTGTGCCTCTGCACTTCAACAGCCTTTTGTACTAAATGTTGTGTAGTGGTAGTTAGCACTTCAAATGTCGGAGGCTTGGGCTGGCATTGTCCACCCTGGGGAAGTCTCACTCACATGTTTTTCTTGATCACCTCCAGGAAAATGCTAAGAATAATGTCATAAAATATACATTCTCACTTTGCGGAAATGCTTGCCATTCAAGCTGGAGTAAGTGTGCTGCAGGGTTTATTTTCTTCAGTCCATGTTGCCATAGCATCTTTACTCTCAAATCCTGTCATATCATATCATATTGAGATTTTTTTTTTTTTTGGCAAATGAAACAGCTGCTGTTGTGTGGTTAGAAGGCTTGTTAGTTTCCTGAATCTTTTTTGTAAGATATATGAAAGCATAAAAGAACTGGAGATTACTGTTTTTTTTTTACTTGTCCATAATGTGGTATTCTAAAGAACAGAACATTTTGGAAACAGGAACTGTTTCCCAAACATATTCTGTAGAATACTGGACAATGGACTACATCCAAAAACTCAAGTGGTCCTGAGTGTTATACACATTCATCAGACATCTTTAGAATCTAAGAAAACAACTGGTTCATTCCAGCGAACCAAACAGAGTTATTTGATGAGGTAAAGTGTCAAGTAACACATTAAAGTTTACTTTGTGCTTACACATAAACAGACTTACATGAGCCCAATCTCCATCTCTTGATAAAAAGTTGTATAATGAATTTCTTATCTTTGTCTACTATAAAGTTTATTGTTCAGGTAATATTAGAATTACACTGGACCTCTGATTTGGCTAATTTTCTACTTCTCTTTTCATTGTGTGCACTTAAACTGAAGGTAATTAGTGTCTCTGCTTCAATGCTATAGATGAAAACTTTCAGTGAGGCTGATGCTCAAGTGCCACAGTGCAAAACGAACTAAAAACTGGAGAAGAAGGTGTACCCTACATTTGCCTTACATGATACTTTGGACCCCCACAAGTTAATTCTGTTCACATAGGAACAATTTTTAAATGTCTTTAAATGAGTAACACATGAAGATATTTATTAAAAGTTGGATATGCTTGTATTTCTCTTAAATTTTAAAAAAGAGTGAAGTTGGTGTTAAATGGCTTAATTTGAATTAAAAAAAAAAGACTTTCTTACTGCTACAAGCCGTACACTGTCTTTAATTTCTGACATTGGTGTATTATTTGAAGAATCCAAGCAGCGTGTGAAAGATGGCTATGAACTTTTTCAGGCGAAGCTAGTTAATACATAATCATACAGTTTCAGTTGTACTCTGTGAGCCGTATTAAGATAACTGAAACTTTACTCCCTCGTTGATACAGAGGGAAGTGCTGGGTGTTGGGACTACTGTAAATGTTCAGTTAATCTGTCAGTAGAACTGTGATTAGTGTAGAAGTGTGGGTGTTCTGATCCACGTTATTATTTTCAGTTTTTTGGTGCCATTGATGCTGTTGTTTTCTTAGACTTGTATACTTTCCAGCAGCTGTGGTTTGAACAGTCAACCATGAATTGCTGACAAATTCATGAGACCCCATCCCTGAATTAGATCCAAGGAGGCAGATTTGCATGATTATTCATGGCAGTGAACTTTGACTAAGCAGATTCGTTTAAGAAATTTCAGCGGTTATCATTTTTGGTTATTATTCTTGGGGTGTTGTAAGACTGAGTCCTTTGATACCGCACACATAGGCTTGAGCTAACACACTATGTAAACAACTGGAAGAACAGTTCACCTGATAATAGTTTACACTCTGACACTGGCAATTAACCTCTTTCATGTTCTTTTATTTTTATGGATTGCCATCTTCAGCGGGTGTCAACAACGATGGTAAATACATTGGCTTCTGGGTGTTCAGTAGATTTTGTTGTAGCCACTTCCCCCTTGCTCGCTCACTCTGATGTTGTTCCAAGTGTTTTGTTTGTATGGTCAAAGGGAAGTGATAATGTATCTGTATATAAATGTAACTTAAAAGCTTTCAGGAGGATAATCAGAATATCAGATCCTTGGCTACAAAATGTCATTTATAAATAATGAAGCCTGTGAAGACTTGTTGAAGAGGATTGTTGTAAACACAGAAAATAATGTTTTAAAAATGTTTATGTTATGTGATTTGGAGTGTGGGAGGGGGGGTGAGATTGCATGAGGGTGCTGTGACCTGACCACTTTTGAAAAAACACTGATGTAGTTTTTTGCACTTACTGGTTTAGAAAGTTCAGTAGTCTTTTCAGAGTTCTGATTGTGATTCTCATTTCTCAGTAATAGTATGTAATCATTTAAACAAGTGTTGGCACCACTGACAAGAATATGAAATGGACGACTTAGCATTGAATGAGCTAATAGGGGCCAGGAAGGTATTCATCTTCCCCACTGTATTTTCCCCACTCCATCTTGAACAGATTGAACCCTGGGTCTTGCAAGTTGTGAACCATTGTAGTTGTTCCGTATGGTGATGTCCTGTTAGCATTGTGGCACCCATACATGGTATAAAGTTTACCCTTGACAAAATTCAATTTTCAAGCTTATGGATAACAGAATGTGTGTGTAGAATACGCTTTAGTAGAATTCCACATTGTAAATGTTGAGCATGAGATATGTTTTGTCAGTCCATTGAGTGAATGTGTGGAGCACAGTGATAAAGAAGTTTAAATTGTGCTCACAATAATATTTTTGTTTCATAATGCTGGTTTTACATGTTTTTCTAACCTTGTGCAGAAGTCCATGAAACAGTTTTATTTCAGTCATTCTGCTCTGCAGTGACACATATGACCAGAATACTGCATATGCATTGGCAATATGGTCAGATGCCTGTGTGGGAAATGTGCAATTTGGTCTAACATGAACATACACATTTAAGTGAAATAGTTATGTAGCAGGACAAACGTGTACTGTATTTCAAAATTAGAGCTCCAAAATTTCTATCTGTTTTGCAGATTAAATTGTATTTGTATGCAGTAAGCTGTTGCATTGTCTGTCCCCACATTTCTCTTCCTTCACTGTTTGTAGAGGAGAAGTTGTACAAAATGCAAAAGGGATAGCACGTCTATAAAAGCATGCATCAGTGTGCTGAGTCTTCTCTTAATATATCTCTTGCTGAGACCTGATTTTTCCAGTTGTAATTGATATATTGGTGGTTTTTAAATGTTTCTCTTCTGTGAAGTATGTTACTTATTATTGTTTTGTTGTAGCTGACACCTTACTATCAGCATGCTAGCAATATTATTAACCCTTTAGCGGCATAAAAAGGGATAATGTTTTCTTTACGTGAGAAGTAAATGTGATATGTTGAAGGTTTATAAATGCAGAATGAGAAACTGATAGTTGTATATGTATACATAAATTGTGGATTTAAGCATTCCTGAAGAAGAAGTGGACTGAAATTCTGCTCATTCATATTACAGCAGAGATCAGTAAATGTTTTCTTATATCTTGATTTGTTCATTATCTTGTGAGTTCAGAAAACAGATGAGTTGGTTTTATGCATGAATACACATGAGAAGAATTGAGATTCCTTAGTTTGTTGTGATGTGAATCTGTGAGACACTCATCACTGCTCTCATAAGATAGTGTTTTGGATGATAATGTAGAATTTACACATCACTTTCATTTCTGTGTATATTGTTCACCGCTTCTAATGCTGTGAACTTGGAATTTAGCATTTGTGGTCATGCAACACAGAAATAAAGTTTCACTCTTATGATGTCTTATTGTTCTAGAAGGGCCAAAGATTGATGAGGATGAAGGACAGCATGGATGGATTGAAGGCTTAGCAATTCTCATCTCAGTCATAGTCGTGGTCATTGTAACAGCATTTAACGATTATACCAAGGAACGACAATTCCGAGGGTTACAGAGCAGAATTGAAGGCGAGCATAAATTTTCTGTGATTCGAGCAGGAGAGGTGAAGCAGATATCAGTTGGTGACATTGTGGTAGGAGATATATGCCAAGTAAGTATCTTCTTCAGTTTTTAAAGGCATTGCCATTTCTTTTAAATACTGTTCCTTTTTCAACCACTCTTTGTAATTTCACAGGTGAAGTATGGTGATTTGTTACCAGCAGATGGCATTCTTATTCAAAGTAATGACCTAAAAGTGGATGAATCATCCCTGACTGGTGAATCAGATCATGTAAAGAAAGGAGAGCATTATGACCCAATGCTTCTCTCAGGTAAGTTATTGTGTAGTATCTTGTATTTGCATGAGTAAGAAAGAAATGGCATTTATTTCTTGAAGATTACAGTCTTTTGGAATGTGAAACAGTGTAGTTGGTAACTTCATACCAACATTTCAGAGACACCTGTTGCCTCCATCTTTGAACCGTGAAAGTGGAGATGGCATGTTCCACATAAATGGTAGCGCCTATTTCCCACACTACACGGTGGCACATCCCAGCTCATGTTTGATACCATGAGTACTTTAGATCTTACACTTCCTCCTTGTTCATGATCATTCTTACATAAACTTATTATCATATTGTTATTTTTAGTGCATTTTGGAGCACTTATTTTCAGTTTACTGGTAGCCACATAAGATCATGATGTAAGCTTGTGCAGCTCATCACCGTTCAGCTGTTCACTACTGCACTGTGTCCTCACGCTGCTTCAACATGCATAAGTGCTGTATGAGTATACCGCTTCCAAGCCCGTGGAACAATCTAGTTGGTCTTATGGACTGGATAGTCCAAAAACAATCTAGAAGCCAAGAGAGGGAAGTGTCGAAGCTTTGAGAAGGAGGCATGCACCACTGGCGTGTGACCCCCCCCCACTTGAGCTGCCCAGCAATATTTAACAGAAGTATTGTAGTTACTAGAAAGAATATAATTGTAACAAATAAGGGGTTGCATGTTACCCATTTTGTGAAGTTATATAATTTTTTAGATATTGTAGCTTCAAATGAGCTGTTGTAGAACATCTTGATAAATGGATTTAAAGTAATATGAGGTCATTGTCTGTTCTGACATATCCTTCAGATATCGAACAAAACCACATAAAACTTGTAAAGCAAAGTAACCAGTCCCGTGCTTGAATTTGGATGTTGCTTGGGTGCTGGTCAAGGTGTACTAAAATACTGAGCATCTCAGTTAACAGACTATGGAGTCCCCTTAAATTTATCTTATAAGTTTGGGTCTTTAAAAAGAATGACAGGATTTCAGGCACCCATAGCTTTGGAATGAAAACAGAAATGAGGGTCATTTTTGCAGTATTTTATTCATTAATTGAAACAGTTTATAATGTTATATTTTAGTGTCCTGTTGCACTGATTTAAGTCCATGATTTATTTCACCATCTTCTAGTGCATACACTTGTCTACCTCACTCCTCTCTCTCGCACTACATGTTTCGGCACAAAAGTGCCATCTTCAGGTGCTTATTCGATTAACGTTAAACTAGTTCACTGCATGCCTTGTCGTCTTCATATTAAAATAATTAAAATATATAGTTATCATATATATTGATAAATATTAAA